TAGCACAATACATAAGGGTGTCCATAATAGACACATGGAGACCCCCTATTGGAGTGGTGCCTGGGCCCACAAGCACCTCCCCAATAAGGAGCCTCCATGTGTCCATTATGGACACCATTATGGAACATGCTATGTACACATAGCATTTTCCTTGTTTTATTACATGATTATTTGACTAAATTTTAATAACCTTTTTAATAAATACAATCTCATAAAATTTTATTAAAATTAATATTAATTAAATTAGCATGACGTTATTTCAGTGCATATCAAATTATTTATTCTGTAATATATTTTAATGAAATCAACATATGACATATACATGACATTTCATACTTAAAATGATCAATACTAATAAATATTAAGATAAAAAAAATGCTATAAATTTTTCAAAAAGAATGTTTAAATTATAAAATTAATGTAACATTTCATTAATATATATTGATGTGTAGTATACTTTGGATATATTTGGTATTTTAATAAATTACCAAAGATAATTTCGTTAATTGATTTTTTTTTTTAAAATACGGATTTTAATTTTCCATATAAGCTAGAAGTAGAACTTTTTAAAGAAGCACAATATTTGAGCTTCTCTGACACCCTTAAAATTTAAAAAATATTGTTTTGAATAGTGTTTCTTGAAGAATGTATAGATAAAAAGCAAAAAAAAATAAATAAATAAATGAATAAGTTTACGTATAGAATATTTTATTGTGTGAATATGATTGAAAATGAGTATGAGAAATAAATTAAATCCAATAAGTAAATGATGTCAAATAGAGGCTAAAAGAGCTTCAAAAAGTTATTTTCTAAAAGACCTAAAAATTTGGCCTCCTACCTCGACTAGTGAACGTATTCAATTTGATTTTTTTTAAATAAATGACTTTCGTAGAGTTCAATAAACTTTTCTTGACTTTTATAAAATCCATAAAAGTTTTCACAAGTCTATGTAATTATTTGACATTTATTTTTTTCAAAAAAAAAAAAACCTTATATATAACTTATTGTAGATCCTTTTGAACCATTACTTAAACAAATGATCCACAACGATATCAAAATATATTTCTTGTGTAAGCAAAAATATTATTTAAAAGAATAAAAAAATATAAGTCACCTAAATTAGGAAAATAAACAAGCAAAATAATTTTTTTTTATAAGATTTCAATACTCTTTGGTGAAAAGAATAAGATATCTCTAATGTTCAAACCATTAGAAATTTAGTAAATTAAACAAGAAATAAATATAT